GGTGGCATAGCCCTCAGAATCACAGCAACTCAAACCACCACAGCACGACAGACAGACGAGTGGACAATTTGATGAACTTAACCTCAATTTATGGATCTACGAGCTCAAAATACCAACAGAGAGGGAAGGAGTCTTCACATCAAGGACCAAGCCTATACCCTCAGTACAGAGGGTTGATAGGGACGGGCAATTTAAGACATTGGCCACCTAAAATGGGGGATGGGCTATAAAGGAACAAAGTGGCTGGCTTACAAGTTTTCAAGAGGGAGTTTAGTTTGAGAGTGAGCGGGAGAAGGCAGAATCCCCACTGAATAGTTTTTATCTTGTCTAGATAGGTCTGGTGAAAAGAGGTGGAGCTGGGATTCTTTTGATTCAATAGTGAGTCATTGTTATCATGACAAATTGTGATGATCACACCCATAAAGGTAGAAGTTGTGTGACAAAAAGCGGGGAGTAATTAATCTTACATTCCAAGAACAGAGGACCCTAGGACCATCAAGGGAGAATAGCATGAGTGAAATGTGGGACCCTATCAGAGAAGCAGCGACACCAGGGATGGAAGCAGAGGCGATGGCATAGAGAGAGAGAGAAACTGAGGACTCTAGACTCGTGGAAAGAGAAAGGCTGTGTGCTGGTGGGCAGGGGGCAGGTCTGCAAAATGTGCCCTTTGTTTGTTTGAATGATTGTATATTCCTACGTGGTTTTGTGTACATTAAAAAAAAAAAAAGAGGGAATAGAAGCAAATACTGTTAACCAGTATAGCATGGAGGGGATTGTAATCATTGCAATGAAACAAAGATGTGATTGGCTGAGTGCAAAACTGAAGTTCTGCCATGTGGATTATCACTTAATTCACAATAAAAGCTTTAAAAAACAAAACAAAACAAAAGCCCAAACTTGAGTTGTTCTCAGATGATTTCAATGCAAGATGGAAGAACAACCTCTTCAAAACCTTCAAGAAAATCCGATGGGAAACTATCATTCAAGTATAAATATCCCAGATTAAAAAGTTCTAAACATGAAGGAACTCTTGATTACCATTGCCAAGTTCCCTTCTTGAGAGAATTCAGCTACGGATGGACTCCATCCTACTTGCAGAGATAAAATACAGCCAAAGGTCTGGCTTTGAGCATTGGATATATTTAAGAGTCAAACTGAGGTTAAAACGGAGGTATGGTTGGGTGATAGAATACAATTGCTTTAACTCATGACAATGCAGAAATGGTATTGAAAAAGGCACTATTTTAAATGGGAATGCACGGTGTGAAAAATGCCGCTGACAATGCCCTCACCCCTCCAGAGCTTGAGCCCATCCTCTTACTCAATGTGGATGAAATCTCTGAGGTGTTCCTCCACACCCACTAGCTTGCAGTAGTTAATTGTGTAGGTGGCATTGATCAACGTAATCTTTTTCTTGTACATTTTGCCAATATCAAAGTCCTAGAAATAGCAGAGGAAGAATGTTAGAGAGAAGTTACGGCTGAAGCAGTTAAGCAGCTTTTCTGTAGGACAACCCTCTCCTCATGTGTGGGAAGATGTGTGTGTTTGACACAGCAGCAGTGAGGCGGGTCTCAATAACACTGAGTGAGCAGTCAGTGGTCCTAAAGCCAGGTGGACCATGTCAACTTTCCCAAGGGAAGGCTTTCCTCTGAATTACGAAGAGCTTCCGAGCCTTCCCTGGCATGCACGAAGAGCAGGGCAAGGAGGTGGCCTGTTTGGCAAGAGCCCTCATCACCCTCTGCAGGAGTAAGATCTACAGGGACCAAGGAGGGAGTCAGTGCTGAGAAAAGGGAAAGTTGTACAAATATAGGCTCTTGACTCCTTTCAATGGACCAGGGAATAAGTAAAACCCAGGGACTGGGTAAAATCTGGGGAACCCACTAGACTACAGTTTTCTACAATCTTGAATAAACACAACCAGGTGAACATGACCTTCTTAACCTCTCTCATCTGCCACTCTGCATCTGCCCAAATCCATCATCTCTGGGCTCACCGTGTGTGTAACCAACAAGAGTCTGCCATGTCCCCCAGAAGCTCAGCAAGGAACTAAGAGGGTGAGCAGTTTCCCGAGGGTATTGACGTGGACGTTCCCTGACTGAGTGTGTTCTTTGTGAGGTTGTCTTGGGTCCCTTTGACGAGACCACCCCTCTCACACTCAGCCTTCCTCTGGATGACAGATGACACCCCAGAAGCCCCCCACCACCTGAGGAAGGACTCCATCACTGCCAGCACTGCTCTGTTTTTAAGGGCTTACCTTGAAGTGGATGAGCTTGGGCTTGCTGTTGAAGGGGCAGCCTTTGAACTCACGCCCAGATACCACCTGCTTGTGCACCATCCCACTCCGCAGCCGCTCCATGGTGTGGGCCAGGATATCCTTTTCCATCTTGGTCTTGCCAATGGGCTTCCTCTCCGCGTCTTCTTTGGGTACCTGGTTCACAGATACGGACAGAGGTCTAGCTCGCTGACTGCAGGCTCTGTGAGACCACAAAGGCCAGCTTGGAGGTGGCAACACCAGCCAGATGTAAAACCAAAGACCTCCAGATGCCGGTGGAGCATGAAAGAGGGCATCATCCTATCAAGACCCTTGAGGAACCCCCACCTCAATTTCTGGTCCACAACCATGGCAGAAGAAAAGGAAAAGGAGAGGGAATTAAGAACAGAGATGTCCAGGATTTGGGCAGATTTCTAAGAAATAGTGGCAAGGAAGGGACTTCTCTTGTTTTTAAAATCAAGCCAAAAGAAGCTTCCAGAAAATTCTACAGAAAGCACCATATCCTCATAGCCCTGTCAGCACAGCTGGGGAGAACACGTGGCTGGGCAGTGGCTTGTCTGGAGGGAGTGACAGATGTGGACGTGCCATGGCTACTGGGTGTGAGTCAGGCTCTGGTTGGTCTGCGGGACAGGAAAGATCATGGGAGATGGAGAGCCAGTGAGAAGTCACTTCCTGGAGAGGGCTGTCACCTGGTAGGGCTTGTAGTCCTCGTTCCAGAGCCCCAAGATTTCCGGCTGTGCGAGTGTTTCCTCTTCCGGGTTGGTAATGGCCCCAGGGTCACTCTGCATGGAATCACTGGAGATGACTTGCAGTAGCTGGGGGACTTCAGGGTGCACTGAGGACTCAACATCCTACAAGCAAGGGTAGAGACACCTGAGGCTCTTGGGACAGTCAGGGAGCTCCCACAGACTCTAAGCCTTCTCAGGATCAGGTTGTCCTGGTGGTTGGCTAGCATGACAGGACAGCACTGCCCATTCTGAAAGGACCCTGTGCTCTTTGATACTGAACTAAGACACATTCATCACAGATGACGCAGAGACAGGCTGGAGGAAGAAAGTACAAGTCGTCTTGAGTGTGTAGGGTGTGCTGGGCACTGGGCTTCCAGTCCCTTTTTATTCTTTACACAAAACACAATGAGAGGTCGACATGCCCTGTTCTTTAATGGTTTCCTTTAAAATGAGAAAGAAAAATATTTATGCATCATTAAATATTTCTTACAATGCCCACAGGAGCCCATAACATATTCCATCTTGGTCTGCAGAATGCTGTAGTTTACAGTATGTTGTGGTGGTCAGCACTGTCTCTAATCTTCACCCATAGGAGCCCAGCCCTGAGGGAACCCATTGCACAGGTTAACCCCATGGGCAGCTGTGATGCCTCCCTTAGACTACCTCCTCAACCTGGGCTGCTCCCCTAGAAGTTGCCTGGGAATAGCGGGGCGGCTGGTCAGGTGGATGGACAGGGAAGCTTGTATGTGTCCGTTGAGCTGAAGGTGCAGGAGAGACACTGAGGGCAGTGGGGAGGGTTCCAGGCCAAGGAAGAACAGGTCAGGGTCGTGGAAGGTGCAGGCGTGGCTCAAGCAAGGGTGTAGGGAGAGAGGAAAGCACCCTCTGCGGGGCCCTAGGGGACAAGGTGATGGAGCCCAGGATGCCCTTTGCCAGCAGCTGTTTGCTGGAACCTGTGACTTTCAGGTTTGGCTGCTCCTTTAGGAGCAGAAGCAAAATGACCAGCTTAGCAGGTCTGAGATCTGCAAGGGGACTGAGAGATGCTCTGCAACTGATGACAATGGGCACAGAGCAAGGCTGTGGTACCAAGGAAGAAAGGAAGAAGGGGAAGCAAAGATGAAGAAAGGAGAGAGGGAGAGAGGGAGAGGAAGGAGAAGGGCGGGGCTGGGGGCAGGAAGGAGGAAGGATAGGTGTTGACTGAGCTCACAACACTGCCCCCACAAGCTGACCCTAGTCCCCTGCTACTAGAGTCAGGAAAGATGATGAGGGTCGAATGTGTTGGGAGGATGCTGTGGCCAGTACCAGACTAGGAAGATGCTGAGTCCCCACGGGATGCCATGCCTATGCACAGCCATGTGTGGGAGAGTGGTCTGTGGACAGCCCTGAACTGGCAACAGAAGGGCTCAGCTCCAGGTGGACTCTGCTTTGTCAGGAGTGGCTGATACTGCTGTGGTGCAGCTGTGGCCTCTGTCCTGTGACCCTCAGAGGGGACTGGGGGGGGGGGGGGGGCGGGGAGGGGGAGGGGAAGGCACTTTGCAGGTGGAAAGTTCAGTTGAGTGGATCCCTGGTGAGAATGTTGTTGTTGTTGTTGTTAGGTGTTATCGAGTTGGTTCAGACTTATAATGACCTTATGTACAACAGAATGAAACACTGCCAGGTCCTGTGCCAACCTCACAACTATTGTTGTGCTTAAGTCCACTGCTGCTGCCAGTTCATCTCGTTGTAGCTTGTCTTGGGTTGGGTTCTGTAGAGAAGCAAAACCAGTGAAACTTACATATGTATATATAAAGAGAAAAGCTCCATCTCAGCCCAAACAAGGCAGACTGTGGAGCAGGCAATCAATTGCTTATATGCATGTTCAGGTTGAAGTTGAAGAAAAAGAAAACAAGTCCATAAGATCCAAAATACAGATGTCAGAAGGGACTCTGAAGCTGGGTCTCCAAATTAGAGATGCTAAACCAAATAGAAGAAATGAGAAAGTTAAAGAGATGAATAGAAAATTTCAAGGACCGTTAAAGGAGACAAAGTCAAGTTTCATAATTAAGTGTGCAAAGACCTGGAATTGGAAAACCAAAGGGAAGAACATGCTCAGCATTTCTCAAGGTGAAAGAACTGAAGAAAAATTCAAGCCTCGGGCTACAACCGAAGGATTCTATGGGTAAGACATTGAATGATGCAGGAAGCATCAAGTCAAGATGGAAGGAATATACAGAGAGACACTCTACCAAAAAGAATTGGTCGGTGTTCAGGCATTTAAAAAGGCCGTATATGACGCTGAATGGTTTAAAATCAGGAAATGTGTGTGCCAGGGGTGTAGTCTTTCACCATACTTATTCAACCTGCAAAATGAGTAAATCCTCCAAGAAGCTGGATTATATTAAGAATGTAACATCAGGATTGGAGGAAGACTCATGAACAACCTATGATATGAAGATTGTTGAAAGTGAATCTTGCTTGTTCAAAGTGAAGAGGACTTAAAATACTGATGAAAATCAAAGATCACAGCCTTCAGTATGGGTTGCACCTCAATGTAAAGAAAATAAAACCCTCACAACTGGATCAATAAATAGCATCATGATAAATGGAGAAAAGACTGAAGTTGTCAACTATTTCATTTTGCTTGGATCCACAATCAGCACTCATGGAAGCAGCAGTCAAGAACACAAGACGTATTGCATTAGGCAAATGTGCTGTACAAGACTTTTAAGTGTTCAAGAGTAAAGATGTCAATTTGAGGTCTAACTCGTGCCTGACCCAAGTAGGCTCATATGCATGTGAAAGTTGGACAATGAATAAGGAAGGCCATAGAATTGATACATTTGAGTTATGGTGTTGAAGAAGACTATTAAAAGTACGGCGCCTGCCAGAAGAACAAAGAAATTTGTGTTAGATGAAGTCTAGCCAGAATACTCCTTAGAAGCCAGGATGGTGACATCTGGTCTCTCATACTTCGGACATGTTATCAGGAAGGATCGATCAGTCCCTGGAGAAGGACATCATGCTTGGTAAAGTGTAGGGTCAGAGGAAAAGAAAAAGACCCAGTGAGGTAGACTGGCATATAGGCAGTAGCAACGGGCTCAAGCGTAACAACTGTGAGGATGGTGCAGAACTGGGCAGTGTTTCGTTTTGTTGTGTACAAGGTCGCTATGAGTTGGAGCTGACTCAATGGCACCTAACAACAACAACAACATAAGGAGCAAATTTATGTCAAGGAAATTGCTCACAGAGTTATAGAGCTGGGAGAACACCAAGTCCAGATCAGATGAACCAAGATTGGCAGTCCAGACAGCAGGCAGGTAGGTCTGTCCTTCCATCCATCCATCAGGCCAGTGTAGCAGTTAACAGGGCAGGCTGCTAAGGACTCCCAGGATTCGCAGGTAATAGAGCAGGTCACTGGTTCAAGACCAAAGAACTGGAGGTCGGAGGATGAGCCAGATGCAAGATCCAGACCCAGCAGAGAGCAAGCAAGCTTTGCCTGAATGTCTAATATACGAATATATTGAAAACAGGTCACAACCCTGAGGAACCATGCTTTCAATTGATTGGCTGTTCATAGCAGACCTCAGAATAGAGTTAATTACATTATATTGTTGTTGTTATGTGCCGTGGAGTCGATTCCGACTCATAGTGACCGTATACAGGGTTTCCGAGGCTGTAAATCTTTATGGGAACAGAACGCCTCATCTTTCTCCGGAACAGCTGGTAGTTTCGAACTGCTGGCCCTGAGGTTCGCAGCCTGATTTGTAACCACTACGCTATATTAGCTCTCATCTTAACTACCAAACCACTGAGAATCTTGGCCCAGTAAAGTTGATACAAAATCTTAACTATCACAGTAGTCTTCCTCTTTTTTGTTGACCCTCTACCTTACTAAGCATTATGTTCTTCTCCAAGGTCCCTCCTGACCATATGTCTGAAGGATGCAGCATTCTGATTGTATTTCTTCCAACACAGATATGTTTTGTTTGTTCTTCTGAAGGTGGTTGTGGTGGTGTGCCACCGAGTCAGTTCCGATTCAAAGCAACCCTGGATAGATAGGATTTATAGGTTGTAAATCTTTCTCCTGCGGAACGACTGGTAGGTTCCACAGCCCAGTTTATATCCCACGACATTACCAGAGCTCCTTGTTCTTCTGATTGCTATTGTTTCTTGTTAAGTGCCGTTGAGTTGGTTCCAACTCATAGTGACCCTATCTAGGGTTTCCAAGGAGTGGCTGGTGAGTTTGAATTGCTAACCTTGTGGTTCAAACTGAACTTAAGATTGAGTACTTATCCTATGTTCTTCTGGTAGCACGTGATAATTTTAATATTCTACTCCAAGACCATAAATCAAATGCATCAATTCTCATATAGTTTTCCTTATTCACTGTCCAAGTTTCATAAGCACATGAGGCTGTTGAAAAGATCATGGCTTAGGCCCTTAAGCTGACAATTTTTTTTTTTTCATTTAACTACTTAGCTTTATAAGCTCCATTCTTTTTTTGTTTTTCTTTTCTTAAATGTTTTATTGTGAATTATGTGATAGTTTACATGGGAGAACATTAATTTTACATTCATTCTATCGTATATCGTCTCATTGCCATGGTTACAATCCCCTCCATGCATCA